CTCCCTGAAAGTTTTTTGCCATTATTCCAAGGTTTTTTGATGTAACACATACAGTTTGAAAGCACCAGTATTTTAGCACAGTTTTCTCTATGTAAGTGATTCTTTAATTAAATCAAGAACGTTTTACTGAAACTTATGTCTCTACGAGACCAAACCCTCCTCCCATGGAAGGCTGAGTGCCATCATTTTTTTCAAGGTATGAGTGGGAGATGACTGAAGTCTGACATGCCACATCACTGCTTTGAGCTCAAGACAGAGCAGATCACTTACATTTCAGACAATTCAACCAGTGCAGATAACCAAGATTAAAATACAGTGTAGACCTTGAAGTTAGTCTTAGTCTTGAAGTTAGAAGCAAGTTCATTGTTTTCCTTCTCAAAGAAAAGCATGTTTTCTGTGTGTTGGTTATATATATCCATACTACATATAACAGAGACTCAGTACAATAAATCACTCTGAAAAGGATGTGGCTGCACTAAAATGGATTTACACAGAAGGCAAATTCATTCTTTTGTGCTGGAAAACTACAGCTGTTCACTTCTAGGTTTTCTTGCTACAGTAATACATACTTTTAGTATCTACAAAAATGCATTCAAATACTGAAAAATCTTTCTCACAAAATAATTCTGGCATCTGACCAAGTTAGTTTTCCTCATGATTGCAAAGCATTTCCACTACTTGTTCCATATTAAACACAGAAATAGAGTCCATTAGGACTGCAGCATCACCTTAAATGTTTGGCTAGGTCACAGAAACAACCGTCTCATGTAATCTCAGCTGAAGCAGTTCATGCTAGAGATTAGATTGCTGTTGAGTGGTCTGAATTTTTTAGCCTGTTCTCAGTCTACTTGTTATTCAACATATTGAAACAATACTACATAAAGCAAATACTCCTAATCTGCTTTTCAGTCCTGGTAACACAAGTTTTCTAAATATCTCAGTCTGTCACTACCAGTTGCAAAGCATCCTTTCACAGAAGTGAGATCTGTCATTATAAAAAAAGCTGAAAGCTGATTTCGCACCTCTGCTTGTTAAGTATTTTCTAAAGCAAATAAAGCTCTTCACTTAAAAAATAATTAAAACTAACTCTTCATTAACAGTTCAAATTGCCTAGGTAAATTTGGTCACAGCTTTAATTTGCACACTGGCGCTGAATAGTTTTATCAAGCTTCTTTATTTCATGCTTGCAATGGATCACTTTCTGATTATTTATCTTCCACGCATATTTTCACTTGGCAAGCAATCATGAAAATACAATGGCAACACCCTTAAAAATCTTGATACCCAGTTGAAACTCCCTCCATTGACTGGTTGGCACTTTGCCACTTTAATGCATAAGAGGTTACAGACCTGGACTTTTGAAATTCTGTTTCTCTATTCACTCATATTTTACTCTTTTACTAACACTTACTACAACTAGACTTCCACCGTCACTAGAATCCTTTAGTTCTGTTACTGCAGCTCTTTCCAGAAGCACCTGCTTTTTGTTTTGGTGGTTTTGTGTTTTCTTTTTCTAAAGGATACAACTGAAAAGTGATGGATATTTCTGCTCTGATGGAGTCAGAAAAGATAATAGATCTGAAGCAAACTTAGAATTGGCAACTTTTGGATGGTGTGTACCTCAGTGATTTGGATAAGAAAGTCCATCTTAAGCGTCCATACAAAGTTCCTTCACCTGTTTTTCCACAACTGCACTTTTCAATACTAAATAATTTGTCATTTTCTGAAATTTCCAACTAGGCTCATTTATTAAAATCTTGAGAGAAAACCAAAGACATGATTTGGGAGCATATTTGTACAACTGAACACCTTTTGCTCCAACTAATTAGGGGCTCTAGGCTACCTGCTTATCTCACCAACCCAGATGCAACTCAGTAATATGCCTATATTCTGCTTAAGCCCCTTCTTCAGAGCATCATTTAGTAGTTTCATTGACAGGCTGTAACAAGTTCCCTAAAAAACCCATTCAGCGTAAATCCACTGGTTTACTCTGAGCCACAGGATTCCTACCAGGATGCTCTTTATCAAAACTCTTTAGAAGAAAAAAAAGCATTACTACACACTTTTCTAAAGTAGTCTGTCTTTACTGGGCATAATAACATCCTTACAGCCTCTTGCGCTTCTTCATGAACAGCTTTCACTTACAAGGGAAGCAGACTGACATGCTCTGACCTTTAAGGAGGCACCCCAGAAAGATAACAGGGACAAACACACCACAAACATCTAGCTTTTTCCATTGGCAAACACAATTCATTAGCATTGTTCCATACGCGTGAGTTTAAAAAAAATAAATAATTATTGATGACTAATTTCAACATAGTGACTTTTGGACTTCTGCTGTCTCACCCAGCCCCCTCTGGCACAGTTTCATTTCCTCAACAGAAATCATCACATTTTCAAATATGCAGGTGATTAAGTCAGAATTACTATGGCAGCTAATCAGCTCAACATTAATAGTTTGTTGGAATTTCACGTACTTATTAATTTTTGAACAATTTAACTGATTTAATGAAAAATAAACTTATAAATCAGTTGGATAAATGAGTTTGGGGGTAATGGGTGTCACTAATGTAATCTGCTTTACCTTCTTGCCAGCTGAGTTCCTTTTGCTGACAAGCAAAATCTAAACTCATCTGAAAGCATGACTGCCACAAAAATGGTCTGCACCAAAGCGACTTGCAGGCCCTGTCCCTCAGACAGATTTTTTCACTCTATTTCAAAATATTTTCTATCTTTTACTAAAAATAAAATATTTTAAAATAAACAGTACAAAGCGAGAGTTAACTCAGACAATCAACAGTTGTCTGAGTAGAATTCACTACTCCTAATTTAATCATGTTTCTCTTGCAATGAATACGCAGAAAAACTCTTATAGGTTTTTCAATATTCCTCCAGGAGAAAGAGGGCAGCAAAAAGCAGAATTCTAAACATTCAACAAAAGAAACAACAATTAAAAAAAAATATATTAAATATTCTTAGCTAATTCAAAACATTTTAAGGTAAACAGATGGTAAAATTTGCAAAGTTCTACGAAATACTGTGAGCACCAAAGCTCTATTTTGTGCCTTATTATCACTCTTTTAATTCTCACTCCTTGGGTATATATGCACTAAGTGTAGGAAACAAATGGGTGCTCGTGTGCAGCAGCCCCCTGTGTAGCTGGAAGGATTCAGATTTCATATTTTTATCTTTTCCCCACCACCAATTCTATACTTAGTAATATGATGGTTTGCAAAGAACTTGTATTTTTTCATGGAAATCTATTCTTTCCTTGTTTGCCTTTTGCTTTGAATTTTTTTCTTTCAGGACATCAACAACACTGGGCAGGGGGGAGGCTCAAACAAAAAAAGGAAAGAAAAACACTTTTGAAAAAAAGTTAAGTGTCTTTCAGGTATTTCCATCTTTTGGCATACCAAGGAAATCAGGGACAAAATCCTGCTGCTTTCCTGACATGGTGATATATCTTTGTTGGAAAACAAAGGGCTGGATTCACAGACAGACTAATCAAGTTGAGTGTTCTCCTACAGAACTTTCCAACTACATTTTGCACAACAGGATGCCAGCGAGCATGCTGAGCAGAGTGCTCTATAACAGGTTAGAAAGCACTACAGCCTATTAGGGTATACATTCATGTTGCTCTGGATAATCTACTACATTGCTTGTATGTAACTTGCATTGCTTCAAAAAAAAAGCTCTTCTAGGGAAAAGTTTTTGCCATAAGTGTATGCTTTGCCAGATCAGACAGGAGGGCCATTTATGGTTTGATGTATTAGGTTGAAAAAATTACCATGTTTTTCCAGTAAAAAAATATTCAAGGTTTATACTGAATATATTAAGGTGGAAAGCCACTGGTAAAGTAAGAAGCAGGTGGTAAATGAGGACAAGGAACAGTGTTAAAAAGAGAAACTGCAATATTTTTCTTTTAAGAAGGACATCAGTAACTACCACAAATTCTGTGTGAGCGGTTAACATGCATTTCACTGTTGACCCAGATGAGAAATAGATGTTTAAGTGTTGAAAACCAACATATGGTAAATTTTAGCAGTGCTGTTTGAGCAAGTATGACTAGTCATCTAACTGGCAAACTCTTCCAGAGGAGGAAACAAACAGCATTGAAAGTACAATTATTGATTACTGCGTGGCAGAAGACAATACAGAGAGGCCAGGGGTGGCACTCAGAACTGTCACCAGAGCCTGTGACCTACATGGCTGGAGTACCACGCACTCCCTGCTGCATGAGGACAGAAGAGGTCAGTCCCCCATGCTGTGTCAGAAATGTCAACACATAAATGTACTAACCATTTCGCATTTCACATTCTGCTGCTCAACTGTATCAGAGTCACCAGACACAATTTATCTGACTGCACATTTCAACAGATAGATAGAAAACATGAATTGACATGATATTTAGACCATGCATTTCAGGACACTGTGATGCAGTCGCTTTGCAGATTTCAGAGGTAGTTTGTTAGAATTTCAATGGAGAGAAACAGCATTTATTGACAAAGAAGCTTTATTATGAGATACATCTGACAGAGATGTATTTGTTAACATTTTCACATTAACAGTCTTCTTTACCTCTGTTAAAAGATACCCATTACTAAAAATGAAATTAAATACTATATTCCATTGAAAGCTTGACAATAAAAAAAGAAAAGGTATAACCATGTAATACTTTATGTGGCAACTTCACGAAAAGATCTCCTTCTGTCCAAGCAGAATTTAGTATTCACAAATCAAATGCATACATGATGTTTAGACAGGATTTCTACTAAAGATAAATGACAGGAATTATATGCAGAAAGCAGAGTAGAGTTTCTATTGCATATAAGAATAAACAAATTTATCATTTCCAAAGGAGAAATACTTTTTATGGAAATTTTGTAAGACAGTAGCCGCAATTTAGTCTTCCATAAAGGCAATCCCTTGAAAAGCAAATATACACTCCCAAAATGTATTGTCAACACAAAGGCAGATATACTATTGCTGTGAGTACTCACCTCATAACTGGCGGTTGCTTCTCTATCAAGGACTCGGGTCACGGAGATATCCCCAGTGATCTCATTGATTTTAAAAATTCCTTTTGGGTCTTGATCTACTCCCTTACCAGAGAGCCGAAACCTTACTCCCTCTCCCGCTAAACTACTGATGACCTGCATGGCAGAAAACAAGAAGATACATGTCATATTATAAAAACTTCTATAATCATTCTAAAACCATGTAAGCCATTTTGATCTTTTATCTAATGTGAAGGTATATTCCCTGCCAATAATAGTATAAAATATGGTTCATGGTAATAAATAACTATAAAATATAGCTCATAGTAATACAAACACATAACTATAAATGGTTTCGATCATACAGAAAACACTGCAATTCTTGTGCTAAACCCTGGAAAAGCTACTCATGTCCTTAGCCAATTCCTATCTTATGTTCACTGTCTTCTATTTCACTACTTAAAGATTCTATTATTCCATTGCTAATGCATTCACTCTGTGTTTAGAATTTGGCATTTTATTTAATTCTATTTCTTTTTTTTTTTCAATTAAATTGATAAAACAGTTACAAACTGACTAATATGTATGTGTCTATATGTGTAGGCAGAAAGAGACCATATTCCACTTGCATAAAGCATACTTATTTCACAACAACCCTTGCATACCAGAGAGCTATCACACATTATTTTCCAATTAGTCAGTCCTTTCTATTAGCCATTGTAAAGTCATTACAAAATAGGCTATTTTTTTGTTGGGTTTTCCCCCTCATGTACCCTTTTACTCTCTTCCTTTCCCAGGATTCTAAACGAAGCAAAAAAAAAAAAAACAAACTCCTCATGAAAATATCTGGGTATCCTGCCCAGAACTCTGCTTAGTAATGTAGTTGGAATTCCTCCTCTTTCCAAATTTATATGTATATATACACACACGTGTGTATGGAAACTCCTTGTTACTATCACTAACTTATTTCCCCATAAGAAAAAAATCCCTAAAAAGCCAATTTCAAGGCTGTCTTACATTAGTGACAGTACATATGTAAACTTGCAGAGTTACACAATGTTTGTTATAAGCTACATGCTTTGCAAATTTCTATTTGTACACCACAATCTAGAAGGATTATAAATTAATCTTGCCCTTTAAGGCTGACAATCTTGCCAAGCCATTCTTTCCCTCTGCTGTTTCATGTTCTTTTGTTTCTAGCAATTTGATATCATTAATATTTCCACAGAAACATTAAGTCAAATATTTATATGCTGGTCTGAATTACAGCTCAGGTAGAGGAAGAGAAAAACTGGCCTTAGAAACCTGGGCCTGCTCCCATTTTTAGATAATACATGTGCAGGGTGTTTAATAATGTCCCTGAGGAACTACATGTTTCTTGCCCTATTGCAGTGGGTTCAGCAATGCTGGTTCGCAGATTACTGGGCAGAGAGGTTTTGACTAAAATCCATAATCATTATTCCTTTATTTTAATTGAGAAAAAATTGCCACAAGTTATGAAGTAGCAAATCAGCATTTTCAGAGATAATGTTTAAATTGTCAAACCCTTTGGGAAAGAGAGAAATTCCAAAGTAAAAACCTCTTCCACTTTTTTTTTCTTCCTCCTTCCAAGTCAGAAACACTAATGGATGAAGTTTTCTCCTCATGTATTTTTTAATATATCATGCCAAAACACCAGGCAGACAACACTTCAGGTGAACAAAAGGCAAGGTAACTCTGTAACTCCGGGTTTGTGATGAAAATGAAACTTAATAATTCCTACTAGAAAGTTACCTTCTGCTCAGTTCATTTTTTTGACCAATCTCTGGTATTTTTTACACCAAATCTAAAAAATCATGTTTTTCTTAACATAAAGCTAGACTTCTTATTTTGTAATGTCACAACCTATGCCCATTTTTGCAGCAAGAAGATGAATTGATCATCTTCTGCCCTCATTTCTGAGACTTTTCACAAGTGTACCTTTCCATCCAGTGTAAGAACAGTGGTTTGAAAGGCCTGAAGTCAGCCACAGGCCAGCACAAAAATCTAATTCAGAAATGTCTATGCAACAGTCATTTCCACCAAAGCCATCAAATATTACCTGTTTGTGGCAAATTTAGGATGCTGTATAGGTGCAATGCCCCAGTTGTAACAAGACACTGAAGGAAAGGAAAACACATAATGGGCTTTGCAAGGGAATTTATAAGAAAAATTCCAGCTAATCACATACAGACCTTTCTCTACACTAGATAGGAAGACAGGAGTGTAATAAAAACAACAACAGTAATAAGGGTCCCTGTGAAATTGACTGAAGGGAAAGTTTCTTCTCAATAACAAATCTGGCAAAGATCTTAACCCTGAGTTTGATGGCAAGCCATCTCAAGAGATTTGTACTCCATGGAGCTACAACAAATCCCAAGTCTCATATGTCATCCCCATTTCAGCTGTACACCGCTTTTCAGCACATACTGTATAGGACCAACATAGTTACCAGACAGCAGAGGTTTTTTCTAGTTGACTGGATGTGTCCTTACAGCTTGTTTAAAACTGCAGGAAACTGTCATATTCGTGGTGCAAGCACTTGCAGACCCTGCTCTCCCATCTATTTGCCTCTCTTTGCATGTAGTTATTGCACAGCGAGTTGTGCTTGACATAGTAAACAGAAGCTCAGGTTAGAGATGCTCCATGTACCACGGTATCATCTGTTCACGAGCAGTGGTGATTGCACAGAAGTAATTTTCAGAAAAGATTCTTTAAAGTTCTTAATTAGCCACAAGGGGGAGCTACAAACTCCCAGGAACGAGAGGAAGACGTTAACATCTCCCAATTAAGATGCTTATATAGTGGCTGCATAGTTCAAAGAAAGTGCATTTCCCAGTTCACACTAAGATCAGTACAATGAAAAGTTTAATAAAAATCAGGCTTAATTTGCCATATGGTTTGGTGCTTCAACAAGAACAAGGAAAAAAGGAGGATTGTCTGATATCTCCTCTGGCAAGACTGCTATTCTGAACACTGCCATAAACACAGCTCTATGCATATGAAAATTTCCTAGCTTGCAATGTGTTTACACAATGATACTTCCCCAGTTTACTGGCTGAGAAAAAAGAAAGCCAGATTATTTCTGATGGAATGTTTGCTTTTGCATGTCATTCTCTTACATTTCTAAAATACGTTAAGGACTTTCCACAGTTATTACTACCTGAAGCCTGGACAAAAACACTTGTTTCCAGAAATTATTCTCAGCTTTAGGAATTTCATTGCAGGTTCTAACACTGAAATGTCTGCACTGTATGACAGTGGCTGGGTGTTGCATATAAAGACTCTTCATTCTTAGAACTTGGTCTAGTAGCACAGATCCAAGCAGCCACCTACTGAGAATACAGATAAGGCAGGCATACTTTATGTAGCCTCCTACTGCATACTTATTTATTTTTTCCCTTGTACTGATCTCACAGTTCAGAAGGGCTCTTGGCTTTGCATGGGCAGATGGCACAGGCAAGGTAGAAGTTAGCTGGCCATTACACAATAATATAGACTCTTGAAGGCTGTTTCCTCATCCAGGATCCAAAGGACAGTATGAAATGGAGACATAGACATTACTCACTTCCCCATACTTCATAACACTTTCCAATGTCAAGGGCACATTGGAGAATAAGTGTATTGAAAACTGAAGTGATCCATGCTAGCCTTGTCAGGGCCACATATATAGAACCCAAGACAAACCAGGGTTTTTTTGTTGTTTCTTGGGGATTGATTTTCCTCAAAAAAAGGCAGTGACTCTATGCTTCTGCTGAACTAAAAGACACTTTCAAGACAACAGTGTTACTTAGTTTTTTTGCTGAACCATGGCCAAAACATATTTACCATGCACTGTTTTTCAGCTGACATTAGGTATCCCTTCCAGTTAAACTCATTTCAGCAATGTGATCCCCGTTACAGGTTTATCACAAAAGTAAATCAGAGTGTTCTCAAGAGAAGAAGAGAAATACAAGAATCCACAATATCACCAGAGAGAGACTTCACCTTTTTGCAACCCCAGCAAAACCAATCTTAACCACACCATCCCTGCTTAACAGTTTCATTCTTTAAGAAGTATTTGCCACGACCATTTCCATAATTTCTTAGTCTTTGACACCACTGAAATTAGAGATACGTTATAATAATTTCACTTTTTAATTAGAAAAGTAATCTCATTCTCAGACAGGAATATTTGGTTCAGATCCCACTACTCTTCATTCCAGAGCATTACACTCCTGCTGTCCTGTGGTCTTTTTAGGGGGTGGTTTTGGTGTTTACCCCTCTCCATACCTCCTAGGAAGCAAATTCATCTATGGAATAATAAGAGGTGAACTATTTTTTCCTTTAATCACGCTATTACACAGGAGCAAACCAACACTTTAGGCCCATGAGGTCTCATATAAGTATTTAAACGGACACTTCCTGTCCTTGCTGTTCTGAAGATCACTCTTTGAAGTCAGACTCCTTCTGCTCTGTACTGACTCAAATGATCTTTCAACCAAAACAAATGCAAAATATTCCCATCATTATTCAAAAACACTAACCAACAGAAGCTACTTCAATACTATAAACCAAACATAAAAAACTGTGATCAGAAGGGAATATATATAATTTGTTGAGTTTAATAATTTATTAAATCTATTGGTTCTCCATACCTCTATCTGCACTTTTTACAAGTGCACCTTTCCATCCAATATGAGAACAGTGGTTTGAAAGGCCTGAAGTCAGCCTCAGGCTAGCACAAAAATTGAGTTAGAGACAAATCTGACTCTGGTTGACAATCTTAAATGAAGAACAACTCAAAAGATGCCACTAAAAAATACTGGAAGAACTAGTTAAGTGTGGGAACCAAATTCTGCTCTTTGTTAGAGGAGGACATGGTGGCCAAATTTGACCTTTGCTTTCTTTCTGACTAGGACTTTCTTCAGAATTCATTCACTATGTGGGTGACAGCCAAGAACATCCAGGTGATTTATTGACATAGCTAACAGTAACAGAAATTATAAAGCTCCTCTAAGTGACTATGTCTTCTGGTCATGATAATTAGGGATAAAACCAAACACATTACATACGACAATATATATTTTATGCAACACTGTACCCCTGTCCATGGCAGGCGGTAGGAACTAGATGATCCCTAAGGTTCCTTCTAACCC